GTTCCTATATTTCTTTTTCCCCTGGTCTTACTACCTTGATAGAAGCGCGAACTTTCACACTGTGCAGTCCAGCTGGTATCTCTTAGATCTCAGGCCGAATTCGTAGATTTTCAGGTTGTTTTGAAGGTTATCTAGGGTATTTTGGTGGGGACAGGTGTTTGGGGACATGCTCTTCCGACATTCTTGACCCCTACCCTGTACTGGGGGAAAATTTTTTAGCTTATATCAGCAATTAAATTTATATGGCCTCCTAGGCATACAAAGCAGATGATAAGGTAGTTTTATTTACTCTGTTTTTACTGAGGGCCATTATACTGGTGAACACACTGTGAATATGTATTTAAGTATGCAGGATAGTGGGAATAGTATGAAATGTCAAGGTCATAATAGAAAATTCTCTTTTGAATTTCTCTCTATAGGTTGTTTTTTTTTAAGATTTTATTTATTTATTCATGAGACACACACATACACACACACAGAGGCAGAGACATAGGCAGAGGGAGAGGCAGGCTCCATGCAGGGAGCCCGACGTGAGACTCGATCCCGGGTCCTCAGGATCAGGCACTGGGCTGAAGGTGGCGCTAAACCACTGAGCCACCCGGGCTGCTCTCTCTATAGGTTTTTGATATAGTTGTGATTTTACATCTTTATAGCTTTTTAAAAAAAGTGAATACTTTTTTTTATGGTAAATGATGCTTACTCTTTAAATGATTAATGATGATTAATCTAAAGGTAAATGATTAAAGGATTAATTTAATATCTAATATTTAATATTCAAATCCTTGAGTTGAACAAAATTTTCCAAAGACACAGTTGGAAATAAAAGGCCTGTTTTAAGTATGTTACTGCTGTTCATTTATTTAATGAAAATTGATTGATGTCTCATTCACCATAGTTCTTATTTCCAATTGCTAAATGTACACTTATTTCTAGATTACCCATAGACACTTAAAATCAGCATCCCTGTAACTTGCCTAATTGTCTTGACCTCTCCTTCTTTTATACTCCCTAGTTAATGACCCATTGAAGAGCCTACAATCATATCTCCTTTACTCTGACTCCTCAAAGCCTATCTATAAAATTTTTTTTAATTTTTATTTATGATAGTTACACACACACAGAGAGAGAGAGAGGCAGAGACATAGGCAGAGGGAGAAGCAGGCTCCATGCACTGGGAGCCCGATGTGGGATTCGATCCTGGGTCTCCAGGATCACGCCCTGGGCCAAAGGCAGGCACCAAACCGCTGCGCCACCCAGGGATCCCTATCTATAAAATTTTTAAAGGATTCTATTTCCTCTTCATCTTCAGAACCTCCCGTGTCAGTCCTTCATTCTCTCCTCCCTGGACTTTTACAGCAAAACTGTCTGCGGTGACCCTGGTGATCTTACCGAATACTGCGTCATGGAGCCACTCTTCCAGTAATAGACATGGCTGCCAGTTACTTTACTAACACAAAGAGGGTCACATTATTCCCCTTCTTCCTACCTTGTATGAATTTCTACTTTCTTAAGGATGAAGGGCAAACTCTGATCTTCCTAGACAGATCTCAGCGTACCTCTCCGGTTATAAACATCCCTATCTCAATATCAACCCTGTCTCGCTATTGAATCTTCAAAGTTGATTGCCTTTCCCCTCACCCCTTCTTAGGGAACCTCTACTCACCCCTTCAATCTCCCCTACTCTGAGGGGCTTTCTCTTTCTAGGCAAAGTTAACTGTACTTCTTTTCTGTTTCACTTGATACTGTGTGTCTCCATTATAGCTCATATTGCACAAATGTTTGTTTGCCATTCTCATTACTGAATCCAGAGGGCCTAGTCTTACTCAAACTAGCAAGGGGCCTGGAACTCAAAGTTTATTCTAGGTGGAAAACCTTCCATTGACAAACCACAGTTGTAAAAATGAGGTTTCTTCAAGAAGGAAATTTATGTGCACTATTGAGACAAATGCTTTGTAACTATCAGTGGAATTCCAGAATTCAGAATTAGTCAATATGTTATGGTGGAGGGCAAAGGGTTGTAGCAGAGAAGAGTTAGTAATAGATTGTAATAGATAGCTTCCGTTCTTTTTTTTTTTTTTTAAGATTTGTTTATTTGAGAGAGAAGCTCTCATGGCCCTGAGATGGTGACCTGAGCTGAAACCAAGAGTTGCTTAACTGACTATACCACCCTGGTGCCTCTGGTCTTTCTTTTTACACATATTAGCTAGGTGCTATATAAAATCTTTGTAACTACTGATAATATCATCAGATTATTTTTCTGAAAAATGTAGTTTCTGCAAACGTGTGAACTTTTCCCCTTGAAATCTGAAATGTTGGAATAAAACTGAGAAAGAAAAGTTTCCGTGGAATTGTTCATATTTCATTAAAGATGCATATATTTGACATAAAGAACAAAACAAAAAACAATGGTGTGTGTAGATGACATCTACAGTGAAGTTACCTAACCCCTAACCATAAGGTTCTGCTGGCTCAGTTCATCAGTTTTTCACAGAATAGACTCATACTTAGGAAACCGTGATTTTGCTGCTTTCTTGTCACTGATGGTACACACTGTAGTAAAACTAAAATATATTTTTTTACACATGTAAATACAGAAAATACTGAAGAATAGAATGAAGGAAAAAAATGTGTCTATAGAAAAGCACCCAGCTAACACACTGGGTTTCAATCTGACTCATTCTTCTAACACCTCATGCTTTTTTTTTTTTTTTTTTTTTGAGAGATGGAGAGTGTGGGCATGAGGTGGAGGGGTGGGGGCGGGTGTGAGGGATGGAGGGAGAGGCACAATTTCAAACCGACTCCCATGCTGTGCGCAGAGCTGAACCTAGAGCCCAACAACGTGGAGATAGTGACCTGAGCAGAAACCAAGAGTTGGACGCTCAACCCAGTGAGCCATCATCCCAAGTGACCCTTTGTTGTTGTTGTTGTTTTTTAAACATACATGTGATCATACTGCATGGATGGTTTCATAACTGGTTCCCTCCTTCTAATGCTACAAAAAATATGCCATGATGTTATACACATGACACAAGCATTTAAGGTTGTTACCCAAAATGCTACAGAACATTTATAGCTACTTTTAAGCTATTTAGTTTCCATGTTTAATTTTTGCATCCTATAAATAATATTGTGATCTAGAGTTTATGAATAAAGCTTTTGCTCTATTTCAGATGATTTCATTCCGAAAGAATCCCAGATACGGGATTAGGGCTTACAAGAGGATGAACATTTTTATAGGTTGAATCACAGGTGCCAAATTGCTTTCTAAACACTTAGTTTCAGTTTACACCCCCACTCACCATGTCTGAGAGTACCCTTTTTATCTCACCAGCCTTGAATGTTATCTTTTACTTAAATATTTACTCATACGATAGCCAAATGAAATGCTACATTTTCTGGTCTGTTTGCTGTTGCAGAGTAGAGGATAAAATCAAGGCTTTGGAGTCAAACAGCTAGGTCTTGGTCATTGCTCTGCCACTTCCTGGCTGTGTCACAAAAATTACTTCTTTGAGGCTATTCACTGATTTAAAAAGTCAATGTTAATATTGACCCCAAATACAGGGTCATTGTACTTAATTGTCAAAAGAGATGTGCGTGTAAAAGCCTGTTACCCTAGTGCCCAGCGTATGACAAACAATGGTCAATCTTTTGTTTCTCATTACAAAAGTATGCAAAACACATACTTTTGCTTGATTACCGTACTACCAGGAATCCACCTAATACTTTGACTATCTCTATGCGTGCAACTTGAGGTGGAAGGCTGAACAATTACCTGGCTAATCCTTGCACCCTGGGGAGAGTAATCTTTTAGTCAAGAAAAAGCACACACCTGGTTCCCATCCTTGAGGAATTCGCAACCTAAGACCTTTTAGCTCTAGGGGCTTTTAATTGTTCAGAGAGGTCTCAAAGGGCAATAGGGAAACTCACTAAAGCTCCGAGCTTAGCGAACCGAAGCCTGAGCTTAGTGAAAGTGATCTGGGGAGGGAGTTCCTGGAAAAGCTACTGTCTCAAGGAAGGCAAGTGCTGGTAAGGCAGGAAGGACATGAATTACTTGCTCTAAGTGAAGCACACTCTTGAGATTTTGTTATTTGAATCTAAAAGTCTGCTCATAAAAGGCGAGCTGCATAAAGGCTGCAGGCGGGGCAAGCTGGGCTGATCTGGTTTTGTGCCCCACGGTTCTCGCAGGTGCCGCTCTGAATCCCAGCAGAAGACGCGAGGGAGAGCATGGGAGCGTGGCGTGGATGCCCCGACACTGACCGGGGGGCGGCCTGGACTTCGGCGGGGACCCGCTTGTCCAACCTTCTCTAATCCTACAATAATTTAGGTTCGGCTGCTCTCTGGGGGCCCTATTTCCGACTCTCTTCTCCTTGACCAACTCCTTCCAACTGCCTTTTTTTTTTTTTTTAAAGTAGCTGGTCATAGCAAAAAAAATCATCAAATATGCTTGCCTAAGGGACGCAAATTTGCACTATCGAGGTTTTTGGTGGAATTATCCGAAAAAGCAAGTTTTTCCAGTTGGGTATAAACTGCTACGATCATTAGAAGTCCTCTGTGGCCAACACAAAAGCGTCTAAGGCGGATCCTGTCTTCAGCTGAGCAGCGGAGGAGCAGCGCCCGAGCGGGCCCCGCATCCCCCGCGGCGAGGAGTCCCTCCTCGGGGGCGACGGAAACGCGCTGAGCGAGTGTTCTGGCACCGGCGGGAGTTTCGAGTTTCCCCTGGCGGCGGGGGGGGGGGGCGCGGGGGAGGTGGCGACGGGCGCACAGCTAGCTCCGGGCGGGGCGCCCCGCTGCCCTGACGGCCCGCGCCCCTCCCGAGGGGCTCCCCGCGGGGCTCCCGCGCCGCCGCCGGCCCTCGCGCGTCCCCAGCCCGCGCCGCGCCCCCCGGCGACGCCGTGTGCGGAGGGGGGGAGGGGGGGCGGGGCGGCCCTCACGGCGGCGGCGGCGGCGGCGGCGGCGGCGGCGGCGGCGTGGGCGCTCAGGCCGCGGCGCGAGGCCGGCCGGCCGGCAGGGGGAGGCGGGGGGCGCGGGGCAGCCCCGCCTTTCCCCCGAGGAGCCGCCGGGCGGCCATATTGCGGAGCTGTCTGCGGCGGTGGCGGCGCCTCTCGTCTCCGGCGGCCCAGCGTCCCCCCACAGCCTCTCCCCGCCGGCCGCGGCCGCACGCCCGTCGCCGCCGCGCAGCGCCCCCCGGCCGCGCTCGGGGCGGGAAGCAGCCGCCTGTTCGCAGGGTAAGCCGCGGGCGCCCTCCCTTCCCCGCTGCCTCTCCCCGGCGGCGCCAAGTTGCGGCGGCCCGCGCTGCCCGGGGCCGCGCCGCGAGGGCCTGGCGCGCCTCTCCGTTGGCGCCCCGCGGGCCAGGCCGCGCTCCGGGGCCGGCGGCGGCGGCGGCGGCGGCGGCGGCGGCGGCGGGGCGCCCTGGAGCAGCCGCCGCGCGTGTGACACGGGGCCGGCGTGGGCCCCGCACCCCCAGCCCCGCCGCCTGGGCGCGGCCCGGCCCGGCCCGGCCCGGCGGCCCTCGGGCGCCCTCAACGCGCGGCAGCGGGGGCAGAACTGCGTCTCGAGGGCAGGGCGGGGGGCGTGTTAGACCCCCCCCCCCCCCGGGCTGCAGACTGAAAGGAGGCGAGTGGAGTCACTAGACGGCGCGCGCCCGCCCGAGTGCCGAGGGCGACGTCGCGTTACGGGGTTTGGGGCGCGGAACCGCCCCCGCCCCCACCCCCACCCCCGCCCCCGCGAGGCAGGCCCGCTCGACCTGCCGCCGGCCCCCGCCCCCGCCCCCGGGCGGCCCCGTGGGCTCGCTGCCTCGGACCCGCCGCCCGGGGCGACCACCTTGCCGCCCCCCCTCCGGGGAGCCCAGACAACTTCGTTTCCGGGCTAACTCCGCGAGCGGGGCGCCGGGTTGCTGGAGGTGTAGTGCCGCGCAGCGCTTCCGACGCAGGTACGGCGGGCCTCCCCCGCCCTTCCCAGACGTCGGCTGGGGCTTTATTGCGCCCCGCTGAGGGGTGCTGATGGATGAGACTGGAAACGTGAGGGCAGTTTCGGCCGGCACCGACTTAAAAATAGGGCCGGGGATTTGTAGAGGACGATTTCAGCAGTCCCGTGGCACCAAGGCTATTAGATGCAAGTGTGGAAGTCTAAGATAACGAGGGTTTATTTGATAAAGGAATCGTTGGGCATCCCCATTGCGATCTATTGTTTACAGAGCATACGGTTTTTTTTTTGTTTTTGGTTTTTTTTTTTTGGAGCGCTAAATACTCTTTTATAAAATTTCAGATGGAGCTCTGAATGAACAATTGCCCCGTTCATTTGTCTCCGTGGATAAATAATGGCCTAATCCATTTTGCCAAAACAACATTATTAGATTTGAGAGGACATTAATATTCAGGGTTGCACTTTTTTTTTTTTTTTAGTGTTCAGAATTCCATTGCTTTCACCAGTGCGTTTTATCTCTCAGAGACTAATATGACAAAAATGTGACCAATGACAAGAGGTAGTACACTCCTTTTGAAGTTAACGGTATGCTGTAAAAAGGGTTGTACTTTTCTTTGCGTAATCACTTTTTTTTATGATGGAACTCAGCAAGCAGTTACTATACTAAGGAATGAGTAGGTATGCATTGGAATTCTTTGGTTTTATTTACATGAAGCAAAATTTGATCGTCGCATTTAGAGATGTTGAATTCTTGCTCTTGTGGATTATGCATTGTTTTGTTCACTCCTGTTTCCCTACACATGTAAGAGTGTGTAGGAGAGACTCAAATATTTGTGGGAAAAAATATAATTAATTCCGATGTGGGTAAAGCATGTTGAATCTGTCCATTGTTTTAGACGTTGTCTTAACTGGAACTTAAAGTGATTATTGTTTTTCCTGTGGTAGTAAGAAATGACAGACTGCTCCTCTCCTTTGTGTCTCAGGGAGAGAACAGGGGGTTGTTTCTTGTTTATGGCTTTACCATTGCCAACAGCAGAATTTGATTTTATTATTCATTTTTATCTTTTGCAGGTTGTTGAAGTGCAAGTCTTTATATATTTTTATTTTTTTTTTGGTCTTTTAATATAATCCGCGCATAGTCTAATTAGAGTTTGAAATGTGGAATGATGGTGGCAGTCTTGTTTTTTCATCCATTTTTAACTTAATGCATTTTAACTTACGCCATTTAAAAATGGCAAATTTTAACCAATATTTCTCATAGACCAAGGCCTAAAAAAGTGTGTCCTGTGAAGATAGTAAAGACTGAGTTGTGCCAGGGGAACATACTTGATAGGGTAAAGCTAATATAATTTTATGCTGGTTCTGTGAATATAGGAACTCAAGGAAATCACCTTTTCTTGGGTGGCTTTGGCCTCCAGCAGACCAAAGCTAGTGGATGCTTCTTTACTCTGATGCTACTCCTGGGACTGGACTCAGTGGGACTGGATTGAATTGGAGTTATTATTGACTCCCCTACTAGGAGGTTATTTTAAGCCTCATAGTCTTGTTGCTGATGGCTAAAGTTCTCTGAGACCTTCCCTTATTTTTGCAGATAGTGTACGCTCACTCTTTTCGGTGATAGAAGTGGTTAGTTGGACCCCAGAAAGTTTCTTAGTTTCTAGCCTCTTTCACAGAATCCTGCCTTTCCTATTCATTTTTGTTCTTGCTATATTTCTTAGTATTAATTTGTATTGAAACCATTTTTAAAGACTATAAAAGTAATACATTTTATGACGAACTAAAAAAATCTAGAGAGGTGTAAAGGGAAAATAAAGTCCTCTTCACTCCCCAGAACCCCCCCCAATCTCTTTCACACTCATGTTTTTCATAGTTGATTGCTCTTAGTACTTCTTTCTTGTGTATAGAAAAATACCAGTACTTACACAAGAATAAGCATATACTTTTTATCTCATGTTTGCTTTTAAAGTCTATAAAAATACGGTTATTTTGTAACATACATTGAAAGAGTATTACTGTGTTAAACATTAATGTTTCTCAAATTTCTATCAGTTGAATGAAATCACACAAAGTGATTTCCTATATTCTCAAAAGTGTGTTTATGTGCTTGTGCAAATTTTTTTGCTTAATGATTGAAGGTAAAGTTCACTTTTTATTTTCTCCCTAGAGTGTGGCATATAATTTTTAGTGAAAAAAAAAATGGTATCCTTTAAAAATATGTCTTTGCATTGGAAATTGTTTGAAAAGGAAATATACTCCATATGATTTGCTTCTTTCCTCATTCCATTTAGTACTGAACTCTAGCTTCAGCTTCCTGGAAAAGAGCAGTTCAGTCAGGTACTAGTTGAAGAGAATTTTTTTTCTTTGAATAAGCAGTATGTATAGAAATGCTTGCAGATTTACTAACTTAAAATTCTTAGTTTTATTTAATGATATAAATTTGCAATGCATGTGTTTTGTTTTTTTTTCTATTGTAATATACATTAGTTACCCTATAACAGTAGAATTCTAAATTGCATTTTGCAGAAGTTATGTATACAAACAAGGTAATGACCCTTTTTTTTGTGTTTTGTTTTTACGTCAAGCAATCTAATGTAGATGAGTAGGAATGGTGAAGATATACCGGGTTATTTTTCTACCTAATTTATATACATTTGAAATAAACCATTTTTGAATTTTAGTCAACTTGATTTGATTTGGCTGAGAAAGATACTTTTTGCAGTTAGCCACTTAGAGGACAGGTCGACAAACTAGTTGGCAGGCCAAATTTGGCCTGCTTTCCTGATTTTGTAAATGAAGTTTTATTGGAACACAGAAATCCCATTTGTTTACATACTGTATATGGCTGCTTTTGTGAGTTGTAATGTCAGAGGTCGTGTATTTTGCAAAACCTAAAGTATTCACTCTCTGGCCCTTTATAGAAAAAAGTTTGGCAACCACTGATACAGAGGCAAAAACATCTTGTTGAAAGAATGTCTTAGCTATAGTATCAAAGAAGGAGGTAGTACACTGTTGTCTTTCCCCCCATGATTACAGAATTTATAAAGTTACAAATTTCAGTATCAGTAATTAGAACAGATAGTTTTTTCTGAGTTGTGGGTAGTCTCTGTGGGCTTTCAGGACCTTAAATGTTTCTTTTATTTGTGGAAAGTCGAAGGAAAATAAGATTGGCTGTGGTGAAACTGTGAAGTGAATGATCTTTTTTCAAGGACTTCTATCACGTAAGATACTTTGGACACTGGGATCCCTGGGTGGCGCAGTGGTTTAGCGCCTGCCTTTGGCCCAGGGCGCGATCCTGGAGACCCGGGATCGAATCCCACATCAGGCTCCTGGTGCATGGAGCCTGCTTCTCCCTCTGCCTATGTCTCTGCCTCTCTCTGTCTCTCTCTATCATAAATAAATAAAAATTAAAAAAAAATTAAAAAAAAAGATACTTTGGACACAATAATAGAAAAATTCTCACCCTGGCTTAAATAATGAGGAAATTTATAATCTTACATAATAAAGTCCAGAGGCTCAAGAATAGCTTGGTAATGACATGAAGGACTCCTCTTTACAATTCTCTGCCCTGTGGTCTTCCCCATCAGCTTAATAGTAAGACTGTTTTCCTCTTGTTACAATCTGGCTGCAACAGGACTAGCATGCCATCCACATAACAGTATCCAAAGGAATGAGAAGGACTGTCTCCTTTCCAAAAGCCCCTCAGCAGATGTCTTCTTAGTCTCACAGGCTGGGGTTGGGATGCATTCCATACCTAACTAGTCACTGGTGAGGGTGATGGAATTGGCCTTTCTTATGATTCTGCCCCCACCAGATTGTTTTCCTTATTCCCAGTAGGTTGTATTCCGACCCAAAGTCATATCCAAGATTGATCTGTCATACATAATCTGGCATGAATATGAGTTCATACCTTCATGGGTACTAAATTTACTTAAATTACAAAATGAAAAGCATTGATTCCTGCTAAAATACTTCTCAGGCAGGGGTTGACAAACTGGCCCATGAACCAATTGCAGCCTATTCCCTGGTTTTATAAATAAAGTTTTTTTTTTTAAAGATTTTGTTTATTTATTCATGAGAGAGAGAGTGAGAACAAGAGCGAGAGAGAGCAAGAGAGAGAGAGAGAGAGAGAGAGGCAGAGACACAGGCAGAGGGAGGAGCAGGCTCCATGCAGGGAGCCCGATGTGGGACTCGATCCTGGGACTCCAGGATCATGCCCTGGGCCGAAGGCAGGAGCCAAACTGCTGAGCCACCCAGGGAATCCCCTATAAATAAAGTTTTATTTGAACACATAGCACATTTGTTT